TAAATCAGGGGTTTAAAAGCATTGGTTTGAACTAGGAGTATTATTAATTTGATTCCAGTAAAGGCTGGGCAGGGATCGGCTTTAGTGAATGGCTTCCATCCCATGCCCAACTGCTGATGCCTCTCAATTCTGACCCGCCGCCCTGCTATTCCAGCCCTGGGCTCCCCCGCCCCATAGTCAATACCCGTCACGCTTTACTTTGGGGAATAATGTTCCCATTTGTGATCTGCCTCCAGAGGGAGGGAAGTTGGGTTGAGAAGATGAGGTACCTGGCTTGTCATTTCCCCTCTCCCTGCGTGGGTAGGGGTAGGGGTAGGGGTTGGGGCTGAAGCTGTTAGGTGTGCATCCAGCTCTGACTGTCTTCCTCCAGCCCCGGGAGCCCAGTTTGACTGGCGAGATCCCCTGCAGCTGGAGAGGCAGCTAACCCAGGAGGAGCTCATGATCCGGGATTCCTTCCGCACCTACTGCCAGGAGAAGTTGATGCCACGAATTGTCATGGCCAACCGGAATGAAGGTGCCTGAAGCCAGCGCCGGGGATAGAACCCGTGACCGTTCCAAAAACCCGTGCCTCTGCCCCCGGAAGCTCTTTAGGGTTTAGATGCTGACGGCAACCGCTAGCACCGGGAGCCGTCCGATTGCGTCCGGTCTGTGGCAGCGGTGCCCAGACCCGCCCGGCCCAGAGATCCACGTGCCATGGCACCGTGCCATGGCTGCATGCAAACCAGAGGTGCCTGGGGGTGATTTACAGATCCAGATGCCGCCCGTTGTTCTCCCAACTGTTCTGCTCTTTTAAATTCCGTGGCCCCAGGGGATCCGAGATCAGAATCCGGCCCTGACCCCGTTGTAGTCAGGGAGTGACTCCAGATTTACCCAGAGCTCACAGAGATCGGAACCTGCCTGTATTTCTGTAGCCTCCTTCAGGGGCCAGTGGATGCCTGAATTAAATGCATTTGAGGGAGGGAACTGCAGATTAACCCCCCTGGTGGGGTTGCAGGGATGGGGAGAGCCAGGTGGGCTGCACGGCTGGAGCTCCCAGTCCCGAGCTGCCGGCGGGAGGGCAGAGGACGGTGACTCTGCCTTTGGCACTCACAGACACACTTCTGTGTCTCCTCTTCCCAGTCTTTCACCGGGACATCGTGTCGGAGCTGGGGGAGCTGGGAGTCCTGGGCTCCACCATCAAAGGTGAGCTGGACCCAGGAGGAAGTCCCCTCCGGCCAGGGCTGGGCGGGTCACTGGCTGGGACCTGGAGTGGATCTCAGTTCGAGGACAGTGTGTGCCATGGAGGGAGAGGTTGGCACGCCACAGGGAGGGATCTCGCCAGCTGACACGGGGCAGAGGAATGGGGGACACACCCCTGCGAGCTCTCCTGAAGCAGGCTGGCTACCCCTAGGGACAGTCCCGAGAGCTGAGCTGACCTGTGCTCACCTGGGACTGTGCAGTGGCCACGTCCCCTCCTTGCCTTCATGTTCACCCCAGTCATGCCCCCTCCTGCCCAGGCCACACCCACCTCTGCCCCACCTGGGATGCCCCCTGTGGCTGAGGGGGGTACAATGCCTCCTGCCCTGTGAGGGGGAGGGGTTGCACCAGTCCCGAGGCCCTTTTGCACCAGCCTGCGTGGCAGGAAGGGACCACATGGCTGTGCTGAATTGGGCCCCCCAGTATCTGGGAGCCGATTCTCCAGCGGCGGCTGTGGCATCTCTAATCCTGTGGCTTTGTGCCCGGGCAATGCAGCCCCCATGGCTCCATTTGGGAGGCAGCAGGTGCCCATGGACTATCCCCAGCGCACACAGTGCCCCCTACTGGCGTGTCTCAGCCCGGAGAGTGGATGTCGGAGCTCAGCCTGCGTGGCCCCCGTCAGCCCTTGGCATACGGGGTAGCAGGTGCTGAGGGGAGCCGTTCCCCAGCTGACCCTCAGGCGGGGAGGGGGTTCCAGTCTTGACTGACCCAGGGCGGGGTTCGGACCAGTGCTGCTGCTGTGTGTCCTGTCCACGTTCTGCGCCCATCTCAGGTTACGGCTGTGCCGGAACCACCTACGTGGCCTACGGGCTGCTGGCTCGGGAGATCGAGCGAGTGGACAGCAGCTACCGTTCGGTCCTGAGCGTCCAGTCGTCCCTGGTGATGCACCCCATCAACGCCTACGGGACGGAGCAGCAGAAGCAGAAATACCTGCCCCGTCTGGGTGAGTGAAAGGCGCAGGTGGGGGCTCTCACTGGCTAGGAGAGGAAGCGTGGATCCACCTGGGAGGCTGTTGGCTCCAGTGCTGGTAGACATCCCCCGTAGCTGGTCCCCTACTGTCTGGCCAGCTGGCAGAGCAGAGAGGATGCTGGGATGGTTCTTTCCTACAATGCTCTCTGCTGGGGTAACGTGGAAGGAGCGGGGGTTGGCGGGAGGGGGAAGGACTTGCCCCCTTCCCCCCCATGGAGGCGGGCTGCTGGGACGGTGTTGGTCACCATGGAGTGTGGGCACTCAGCGCCCAGGGTGGGGAAGGTCTGCTGGGCTGGG